CACTATGTCATTCAATTTTCCAGATTCTTGGATTAGTTGACCATCAAATTTGGTGAATACAACCACCAAGGGAACTGCACAGATAGTATTTATACAGAGTTAATACTGCATGCTGTGCCTGGTCAAAAATATTGATAGGCATCAGACTTACCTTTCCCTGTTCCCTTGTCAAAGAATTCAAGTTCTGCAGGCAGAATTGGACGTGTACTGTCCATTGGTATACAATACCTATGCATGAAAGCCTAGATCAGTCATCCACACAAATTACAAATTCAAAGATACCAAATGGCATGCAACTGGTCTTTCAGCTGAGCTGCAGCAGACCGCTTGTCAATAAAATCCCAAACAACTTCTAGCTCCCTCCTTGCACCAGACTCAAAACCTTGGGAGTCATGAAATATAAAGTTGCTCCCTTCATATGTAATCTGATGATCAATCTCATGTATGCCTCTCTTGCAATGTAAAGTACATCCAAGTCAGTGCACAGATCAATATTTAATAACTTCAAGTTGACTCACCTCTATTGATGGAGTCACATGGGTTTTATTTGGTGCCAGTTTGTTGTCTAAAAGGAAGAGAAGATAGAAAAGGAGTGGATTAGTTGTTATTAAACTAACCATTTTCATCATATATTATGATTGGCTGTGTTCCCTTTGCTACACCACAGACCTTCTCAAGAATTGTAGTCTTTCCAGCATTGGCTCTTCCTATTATAAGAATACGAAAGTGAGGGCACTTGTATAGCTCTTTGCGTTCTTTTACATCTGCACCTGACATTTACAACTCAATCTTCAACTGGCACATCAAGACAAGATAGTACATATTTGACTCACTCGATGCAGGATCAGATACACCCACAATGTCTGATTTCATCACAACTACTAATGCCGTGTGTGTAGGAAGTGAAGGATGGTATATCAAGCTCAAGATAAGAGCAGGAAAGGATAATGAGCTCCGGAGATACTTATGCGACAAAATATATGACCGCCCAGTCGAAGAGGCAAGGTGGGCGGACAGCGCGTCAGATTCAGGAGATGAGCGCACGGAAGAGCCTGCAATTGTGAGTCACGCCGCATCCCCACGGGTAACTACAATCAGAGAACTCCACATTTATGCCGTTCGGCAGAGACATCTTCGCGATAGTTCCGATTCTGACATTGTCAACGTGATCTCCAAAATCTGTTCTCTCGCTCGAGATCGGAAAACATCTTTCTTCCGAACTCCACCACTATTCCAAGACGTTCTCACTCTCCGGATCTACATGTCACCCCTATCCAAATATGTACCAATGCCCTACAATGGTAAATAGTGGAGAAAAGAGCGATCGGCCACGTACAAATGCCCAGCCGCTGGTCCTGAGTTTTTAACCCAATCGAAGGCACGCACAGTAGTAATGATATGTTACACGGTTACTTTGTTCTGGAAGGACTCCGTTCAATCGATTTTTAGTCCATGAACTGGAATCTCGTTGGCGACAAGACCACCCACAAGACGGTCGGTTGATCAACGAACTCTTCTTGATGACCAAAGAGCTGTGAAAACCTCGCTTTGTAACCCATTTGAAGCTCAGCGTGAATCCCGAAGTGCCTACGGCCAGAGAGAAAATTTACAGAGACGCACGAAGACTCAAGAGCCTGGCATATTTCGATCGTTAAACGTTAACACATCAACCTACCACACATCTCAGCAACGTTGAGTCGTTGACTCACAGCAAAACCAACTTCATGAGTATATGTCGAGGTTGCAGGGCATGGGTGGACCTGAGGACGGAAGATGACCTTAACTTTACCATAATACCGTCCGGCGCCCTCCTTAACTAGAATACATCAAGGGCATGCCGAGGAGAGTTGTAAAGACCCGCGATAACTAGTGGTCACAGATCGGGTTTGAGTGCCATGGCATAGAGAACAGGCTTGCGTGGCTCGGAGTCGCGAGAGTCTCGGACTGATTTTATTCTCGGATTCAACCTCCAAGATGCCCATCAACTTTTCCACTTATATAACTCAACTTAACGATGATCTAGCAGAAGAAAACGGTCCCAACCTCGCATATCTCCTCCGCCCAACAAGTCCCCATGGAAAGGATCTCGTGAAGAGTTTCGGAACGGAGAGATCGGCCTCGCACAAGTGTCCGTCCGGGTGTTGGTCCTGAGTTTTTAGTTCAATCCAAGGCACGCACAACAGTAAGGCTCCAACCATTGTATTTCCATTTGAACGAAATTAAATAAAATAATACACATGAGCTTTGTTTGATATGTTACACGGTTACCTTGTTCTGGAAGAACTCCGTCCAATCGTTTTTAGACCATGAACTGGAAATCTCGTTGGCGACAAGACCATCCCACAAGACGGTCGGTGAGACATGGATGCTATTTTGTCTGCCAAATTTGACTTTATATACATCAGACGCATATCACTTCACCGAGTGATTGGAGAGTACATACTTGCATATTTCATGTCATCGGTAACACCGGTGCCTCCATTGGCCGTAGACTTGAGCTCCAGCAGATCCTCAAACTTCCCAACTGCGGGTTCAGGCAGGACCTGCGAAGCTAATTCTTTAAGCCTCTGGCGAATTTGTAAGGCAGTCATACGTGAAGTCGGTTGATCAAAGAACTCTTCTTGATGACCGAAGAGCTGTGAAAACCTCGCTTTGTAACCCACTTGAAGCTCAGCGACCCGAGGTGCTTACGGCTAGAGAGAATTTGTAGAAATTCTCCGGAGACGCACGAAGAGCCTGGTATATTTCGATTGTTAACCAACCGCACATCTCTCAGCGACGTTGACTCACAGCAAAACCAGCTTCATGAGTATACGTCGAGGTTGCGTGCCATGGCTGGACCTGAGGACGGAAAATGATCTTCACTTTACCATAATACTGTCCGCCCTCATTGACTAGTGGCTTTATGACTGTATCGATGGTAGCCATCATCTTCGCACTGACCACAAAAGTGTTAGATAATATCATTCATTCAATTACATGATTGGTTCGTGCCTGTATGGACAGACATAATCCACTAATCAAATGAGACAGTAAGCTCTTGAGTGTCGGACTCTGTACTTACAGAATACATCAAGGGTATGAGGAGAAGTGTAAAGACCCGCGATAACTAGCGGTTGCAGATCAGGTTTGAGTGCCATGGCAGCTAATAGAGAACAGACTTGCGTGGGAGTCGCAAGAGTCTCAGGCTGTTTTTATCAACCTCCAAGATGCCCATCGACTTTTCCACTTATATAACTCAACTTAACGATGTTCTGGCAGAAGAAAATGGTCCCAGCCTCGCATACCTTCTCCGCCCAACAAGTCCCCATGGAAAGGATCTCGTGAAAGAGTTTCGGAACCCAACGGTACTTGTTTGGTTCCTTCTGCCGAAGGAGTTGTCTTACGAGGATGTAGCCCGTTAGCGCACGCTGTTAAACAGGTATAAGGGAAGCATGGTGACTCCGTGGGACGAGATTGCAATACAATACGTCCTAGTCTGCACTCATGTTGCGAAAAAGAGACCAGGGGAGGCGTTTCAAGAACACTCAAGCTTAGTATCGTAAGTGCCAACTTGTCGAATGGATGTTGATTAATCCTCGTTGCTTTCAGCCTTTTCTTTAGGTTCTTTGTTGAGAACAGAGGCTGGACGCTACCTGCACTTTTTTCCATTTTGCGGGATTTAAGGGATCTCGCCCACGACGTAAGCAACGCGATTTGCGACTTACAAGTGTACTCTTAACAGCTGCAATGACAGGCGGACCTCGATGCGATGTGTAATAATCAAAAAAGCGATTTCATGGAAGAAGCAGCCAGGATAATCTCAAAAGCTTTTTCGAACTGTATAATAGACAGGTACTTAACATTCCTCGGTCCCGTTGATGGTTGTTGACTTGTGACGAAGGGTATCGCCCCCTGATCAGTCCCGGAAGTGGGGTGTGTACTATGTTGTAGGCTTGATAATGAAATGCTACTTCCGGGTATTTAATTCCTGCTTCGTTTCCGTCCCTGTATAGATGATTTTCAACAGGTGAAACGTATCTCGCTGTCGAAAAACATACTCAGAGCACTTCAAGCGAGCTCAGATGTCCCGCCATTATCAGCTTTTCCTCGCTCGCACCAAGTATGCATGGATTACCACATCCGCGTATCTACGACCTAACCGGCTTCTTAGGTCACATACCGATACTACATCGGCATGATAAGCTTCCTAAATGAAGATTACGCTAATGTGCGTGCGGTCGATACCTTCAATTACTAAGCTTGTAATCTAATTTCAACCTAAGGCTGAGCAAGAACTTACCCTCGCATTCTACCACTGTCACATAGGATCACAGTCAAATCAAACGTGCGTTGTTTCACTCAATTTCACGACTTTGGTAACAGAACACGCCGCAGACGGATCCTAACTTACCTCATCCCCCTTCGCATCTTGAAAGGGCATCTACCATCGGAAGAGTTGCTGAACCGTTTCCCGATCCTCAGGGATCTCTTTATTCCCTTCATCGATGCCATCCGCAAGGGGGATATAGCGGAATTTGACAGAATGCTAGAAAGCAGGGAGAGACGGCTCGTCGAACTCAACTTGTGGCTAACACTGGAAAAGGCACGGGAGTTATGTATGCGCGGCCTATTCAGACGAGTGTGAGTGTATTCATTTCCTGCTTCTCATCGCAAAGCTGAATTCTTTCCTTTTGGGACAGCTGGGTCGTAACGAACAAGTCATCGCGAATTCCTATCGCCATGTTCCACAGCTCGCTTCGGATATCAGGCATAGATGTTTCACAGGAAGAAGCCGAGTGCTTTGTGGCGAACATGATATACAAACGTTACATGATGGGCTATATCAGCCACGAGAAGCGGATGGTGGTGCTCTCGGTGAACAACCCCTTCCCCCGATTGGCAGAACATCCGTCACCCTTTTCGTTTATCTAAATAATCTTGATTTATGTAGTTGTGAAGAAAGCGGGTATCAAACTGTTATCTGTGATGAGGGACTTTTGATTAGAGAAAAAATCATATGGGACCACCGCGGATTGAACGCGGGACCTGTAGATCTTCAGTCTATCGCTCTCCCAGCTGAGCTATGATCCCGATGAATGTGAGCTTGAAATACAACAAATTTGTACAATATTTTCTCTTTATTTCTATATGGGTGTAATAGCGCGAATTTCGCTATGTTCCAAAGTTCACGTTCATTCCCGACGGCGCCATCAATCCTGGTCCCGGTCTAGACCTCAATAGAGAGCGCCCATATTGACACGAACGTTCCAATACATCCATGACAAATTACATATCCTAGTAGATTAAATTATAACCTCGGGAATCATGACCGCCCATAGGTACCCTCTTCGTCATCGCTATCGCCGACATTAAACATCGGCTCTACATCCTCTTCGAGATAACCACTTCCGACAGCCTTCGCTTTACCTTTTGCACTATCTCTTGGAGGGTATGGATCTGGTGCCTCATCTTCATCCGCATGACCGTTGTAGCTGGTCAGGGGTATAGCCTCCTCTGAGGCCTTCGTTTGGGGTAATCGAACGCGATTCCTGCGGACGCGACACCACAGGAACACGCCAATTCCAATAAAGATAAGAACAAGAATAAGCGCGGCGGATCCCGCGTTGTAATATGCTGATTGGATCGAACGTTTGGCAAATGACTTGTTCAAAACCGAGATGATGGCTCACCTTCCCACATTGCTTTATCTTGCTCCGGCGTTTTACCCGGGACAGTTAGGTTCGTAGGTTTCGCTGTGCTCGTGGCAATAAAGATTGGTTTTGTCTCTGTTCCGATGCTACTTGGTATCCTCGCTGATCCATCAACGATCGCAGAGAAATTGACACCCATGAACCGAAGGATCATATCGTGTGTAATGTGAGGGACGTCATAGGGCGCCATGTGTGAAGCATTGAAGATCTGCAACGGGGCATCAACATGCTGCCGCCAAGACGCACGGATCGCCCACGCTTACTTTGGCATAAGTTAGGTTCCTTGATGTAACCCAAGTACCGGCGGGTACATTGTTGACGCTCCATGATTGAGTTTCAACAGTCTATGAAGAATGTTAACCTAAAGTTTATGAAGTATGGTTAACAAGAAGTTTACCCCCAAGCCAGTCCCGCCGTTCCACGTCATCGATTTCATCATAGCCTCCAGTCCGACATAATTACATATCAGGTCCTGATCACCAGCGAAAATGAGGACGGGTAACTTTGAGAGTACTTTGGGCAACACGGTGATAGAGGCATTAAGCTTAGTTTCCTCAAAATGAGAATGAATTGTGCCGCGGCATTCAACCCATTTCCCAGAATGAGAAGATGCATGAAGGGCGTTTACAACGTCGGAACGCTAATTGATGAGTTAGCAAGGCGCTAACTGAGGCCGCTGCAGGCACGCACGTCTAGATAGGAAGTCACATGTTCGATGTCTGGTGGCCAATTCATGCCGCAGGCGGGTTTCGTGTCGTCAAGACGGACGTCATAAATGTTTATGCACATTTCCTCCCCGCCCACTCTGTCAATGATGTTTAGACCGGTTGGTCAAAGTTATGTACATTAACAACGCACTTTTTCTCCCGGACTTTGGCAACATCTAGTATAAGTGAAGCGCATTCGGTGACCGACATAGGTTCGAAGTTGATCTTGGACATGGCCTCCGTACATTTGTCGGAGTATTTTTTGGCCATTTTCCAAGGCTATACTCCTTCTAGGTGGGTGCCCTTGACATACGAACCAATAAGAGCTTACCTCTGAGTTTTCTTCTAGAATCCCTACTTTTACTGTAAAATCGAGGTATGCTGGGTATTGTCGCCGAGGATCTATCCAGCCATTACCGATAGCGACTCCTCGGACGGGAATATTGAGATTAGATTCGAGGATGGCATTAGCTGGCACAGCATATATGAGTTGAGCGTCAGGCTTTGAGGGAAAGGGGCATACCAAAGTACGGTATCCACTGTCCAGCAAAGCTTTCTCCGCCAAGGTAGGTCTGCAACAGCAATGAATGGATGCACATGAGATTGATAAATGCATTAACGAACATCCATCTGTTTGTATTTCGGAAAGACGGCGTAAAAGTTCCTCAGAAATACCAAAAATTGTTCTGAAGCCTTTTTTTCCTTGTCAAAGACGGTATCATAGTCTATAACGGCAACATACCTCGTCAGGGGTTCTTATGAAATGCTCTGAACTGGTATAGGAGAAACCCGTCCCTGCAGGTTGATCGACTGCAGAAACACGAGTGAGATGCAAGCTCAAGAGAGAGTTAGGCCAACGTACCATAAACCATGGTGGTATATTCTTCCCAACCGCCTTCCTTCACTCCAAACCCTCCTTTCCCATCCATCCTCCAAGGACCCACCTCCATCATAAGTCCATCGAAGGAAGAACACCCTGGACCGCCCTGTGCTTCGTCAGCGAAAAAGGAACTTCGATTGATAGAAGATTGCATACATTGAACCAAAATAACACTCTCTCCTTATCCGCTGTCCTTCTATTCTCCACGACTACGAAAAAGAGATGAGCGAACACCTCCGTAGACGAGGATCTATCATTGGCTTTAGGGTCTGAGAGAAGATTTCCAGCATATATTGTGAGGGGATGGTTAGGGTCTTGGTGTATATCAGGTAAGGATGGAACGTAAAAGGACGCAGCAGATGGTACTAGTAAGTGACGTGAGCGGTGGGGTAGTGCGAAAGAAAAGAAATAGATACTTACTGTCTGTTGGAGCGCCTATGACAGGTATAGAGGCAGCGAGTAGGACAGTGCCCGCCCATAGAAGCCGGATAAACATGTGTTGCGCAGTCGCCAACGACACTGAAAAATAACAGCGTAAATATAACCGTATAAACCTTGACCGGAATGTGTAGAGGCACACCCTGAGTCTTGAGACGTTCCGCGATGTAAGGAGAATTTCAAGGGAGTGAAGTGATGCGCATCAGTTTGTCCTGTGCAGGTTCATTCGTCTCACGCGGGCGGTGACCATGAAGTTGGTTACCGTGTTCCTTACCAGTATTCTTCTTCTCCCAGCAACTGTTCTAGCTGATGGTCAGTGTCTCATGAAAGAACGTATAGCCAGAGACTAAAAAAATTCGTGGGTCATTGCAGGCCATTCGACAACTTCACAGAGCCTCGGCAATAGGTTCCTAACGTCAGGGCCAGTCGCTTCGCTGTTTGCAAGGCTCGGCGTAAACATTACAAAAACGTTGGAACAACCAAATTACTGGGACGAACGTATACCGCTTATCACTGACGACAACTACAACGACATTATTGTGAATGAACCATTGACAGATGAAGAACTGCAGGACAGAACGTGGGCTATTATAATGTGAGCATTTCAGCGTTGCATCAACACAAGTTTCTCTAACAGTTACGGCAGTACTGCCGCTGCAGGAGATTCTCTTCGTGATAGCCTTTCAAAACTGATGGACGATATGTTCGACGCAGCCTATAACGAAACTGTACTTGCTGGCGACATACCTAATGTCCGATGGGGTCGAATTGATTATCTCAATGTCACCTACCTCACGACCAAGTGGAACGTTTGGAGGTGAGTGATTCATCGTTTACTACTCGCCACTTCACCGACATTCCTCTAGTACCCCATACCTGGTAATCCTACGCAACCGAGGCCAAGAGCTGCGTTTCTACAAAGGCCAGAACCTGAGGCTCCAAGAAGACGAACTACGAAATTTTTAAGAGCAGAAGATTGGAAATATACTCCGGTGTGGTCTTCTTCCTTCGCTCCCGGAGGTGACAAGTGAGTTCGCCACTGTGCAGTGCATGTTCCTCGTCTAACCGGTGTCGGCAGAGAATCCGTTATGCATTACTTTGCTATCGTGACAGCCAAGGTTTATACCCTAACAATCAGTATACCTCGCTGGCTTTTCGTTCTAATCTCGGGTGCTGTCGGGTCCCTCCTTTTGGGTTTAATGCATACGCAAGCGAGCCCCAAACCCAAACGAGCTAAGGAAGTACCAGTTTCTTCGGAAAAGACATCTCCCGCTACCCCAAGCGCTGTACACCCAAAGACTAGTGATAGCACCAAGAAGAGAAAGAGAAGATGACATGTACTTGTTGTATTTTCTGCATGTATTACTAGTAGTACCGCCCGGAAACCTTTGCTCGCGCGATAGTTGAAAAGGGGAATCTATTTTCAGTTCTCTGCTAGTATATCGGTTAGTACACGCGCCTGTCATTCTGATGGACGCGCGAAAGCTGGGTTCGACTCCCAGGCAGAGAGTTCTTTTTTGTTCTCTTCCGCTTTGGAACCCAGTTCGTCATTGCTATGCAAAGTCCATTGTTAACACTACTGGCTGGCCAGAAAGAGGGACGTATGTAGTCCGAGAATACAGACAACAAAGACTAGAGAGAGATAACAAAGCGCTAAACATAACATATACATAGTCCTATAGTATAGACAATCCACACAGCACTACAATCCCACCAATAATCGCCGCTATCACCAGATGCGGCCAAGTAACAAGCTTCGGACCCTCCATCATCTCTGCCGTGCTCGTCAAAGAGCCTGGCAACCCCCTCTGATGAGAATCCATCACCTGCTGCACCGTAGCCTTATTCTGACCCAAAATCAACCACCACGATGGCTCCCTCGCCAGCTTTAGCTTCTGAAGCCTCTTCTTCTGCGCCCTCGCAAAGGCCACATCGACCTTTATATCATTCTCGTCCTCCTCCTTCTCCACCGTATCAAGAAGACGTTCATCCGTGTCCAGCGTCGTTTTATGCACGACACCCGTATGAAACCCCAACCGGTCTGCAGTCGACCTTATCCGTGGTATATCCTCGTACTTGGTATTGAAAATACTCACGACCGGTTTGCTCATAACAGCTAACCGGTCCATGAGCATCGACGACGTCGTCCCAATGCTATTCATGTCGCTTCGGCTTTTACTCCTAGCCCGAATCGTGCGTCCTTCAGAGTCTACGAGGACGGTAGGCACAACGGAAGCCAGTGGGAGTCGCGGGACGTTGGTAATGTGGAAAAGGATTCTTTTCGACAAAGTTTGGGTTACGCCAGTGCCATGGGCCAGTCTCGGGTATCACGAGCGGTGACCGAGGTGAAGGCGTTATCGTCTTTATAGGTTGAGAGTGAGAAGGGGGAGGTGTAACCGCGCGTCCTTGTGCTGAATCGTGCGTGATTTGGGGTTTCCTCGCGGGGGAGGACTGGGCAAGGGGAGGCTCTGACGCGTATCGGTCATCAAAGCCATCAGTCTTCGCATTCAGCATGCTAGGGCACACGGGGGACCCTCGATCGTTGCGTTTGTGACCTTCCATCGGCATGCCGCAGGTGCGACAGTGAGGCTTCTTTCTCCCCGTCGAGACGACCATGAGTAGTTCGGTTTCGCGTTTTATGATTCCTCGTCTAAGGGTAACTTTGTCTGTAAGAAAATATCGGTGGCCTAAGTCCACGCGTTATGACCAAAAACTGTGAATACAGGGGGAGATCAACGTCTCTAGTCAAGAAGGGACCTCTCAAATGACGCTGCCGACTGAGAAAGTTCCCACCGGAGCAGAATAGGTAAATGAAACTGATTCGACCCTTTTCTGGCCACCTCTTCCCAAGCGCTGCGACCCTGCAAACAATGAACAATGAACATTTCGTCTTTCTACAATACTTGTATCAGTTATATGACTACACTATACGTACATTCATCTATACCCATAACATCACCGAGCCCCAGAATGAGCCTGCATCACCAGCAAACTTGCATTTAAATTCATCACGACCATTGACGCTCCCACGTCCCCCAGTGTCTTGGCAACCGAGGTGCCAATAGACGATCCATGCTCAGTCATAATCTGGCGCAATTCGGCTGCGTGCGATTCCGTCGCCATCCTCCTCGACCGACCTAGCACGATAATAAGCTCCTTATCCTGCTTGAGCAGGTTGTTTGCCTCCTCGGCAACGGTGTGCAAAAGCCCGGGAGTGCCCTTGGTGACAAAGTTGATTCGTGATAATGCTTCAAGTTCAAAGGCGTTCAAGCCATCCTTATGCACATACTTGTCCCACAACAAGTTGTCTGCCGTATCGGAAACCATTCTGTGCTGTGCCGTAACCTCACCGTAGTGAGTATCGGCTGCTGCCATTGTCTGTCACGTGTCCGCTTGTCAGTATACTGGCCCAACACGGAAGAATCAACGAAAGCTGACCTGATGAATGAGTGTCATGTGCGGATGCGTAGATCGTGATGGTTCCACTGCCGTAGCATTGGTCATCAAAGGAGAAAGTGGATCGGCCTTGCTCAATCGCAGTACAATGGCAGATGCATCCTTGCTCATGCAAAGTTGGACTACAAATGCCAACGCCAGGCGATCATCAGGTCCTCCGAAGAAGGGCAAGAGTAGGTGTCGCATTGACTTGGCTGAAGTCTTCAAGGAAGGAGCGCGATCAACGTACAAGGCAATATCGACAGGCGAATGATTGAAAACTCTGCGGACGTACTCGGAATAGACAATCGAGCTTGTACTATCCTGCGTTGTCGATCTGTGGAATATACTGTCGAACGGATTGTGTGCTTCTGCCTTCGTTCCATCGTGAGACCCGATATGATGCCCACTGGACCATGGGACAACGATCATTTGTGAAGCGGATCGTTCAGCATGCTCAGCAATTGCGTTCGGGTATTCATCATAGTTGACGACGGCGATGCTGGAAAAAACGGGAATGCAATTGAGATGTCCGAACGTCTTGAAAACAGTGATAAGAGGATCCTCCAGCAAAAGTGCCTCGGATTCCGTAGAACGAAGGACAGCAGATGTACGTCCAGACAATTCCATTAGCCTAAGAGCATCCACGCTCATAGAGAGGGGTAAAAGAGCGGGATCATTGATTGTCTTTTCGGCAGATGACATAGGGGGGGTGCTGGCTTTCAAAAGTTGGGTGAGGGTCATTGCAGCCGGCAATTGCTCAAACCTGTCGAGGGCAATCGTTATTCGGGTCTTGTATGAAAAATCACTATCCGCGGAAAGCTTGCCATCCAAGTCGCCTCGAGACATAACTTCCGAGCGCGAGGTATGTTCGTAAACACGGTGTTTTGCGGGATAGAAGAGTAGTACAAGAGGGGTCGTCAAGAACGTCAGGATAATGGCGTGCACGACAAACATGGAAAACACTCGGGTATCGAGGTAACCCGCTTGAAGGCCGATGTTAAGAACGATCAACTCCACCAGTCTAAGAATCCGAAGTCCTGGTCAGATGCTGATACAAGGCACAGGTATACGTCATTGAATTTTCTCACCCTTTACATGCCATCAAAGATCCGATGGCTCCAGACTCGCGCCAATTGTAACCGGTCAGTTTAGCCGAAACTGCACAAGCAAAAAACTTGGCCGAGAAAGCAGTGATACAGATTAGGATGGTGTAGCCCCACGTAATTCCGTTATCCAAGAGGCCAAGATTCGTCCTCAAACCAGAGAGTGTGAAATACTATTCGAGCAATAACATTAATATTTGACGTTCGATGCTAGAGCTTATGAACGTACGATAGGCATGAATAGGATGGACACAAGATCTTCTAGCTTCTCCACCAATGAAATGGCGAATCCATTTTCGTGTGGAATCATAAGGCCTGCCAAGAAGCCACCTAAAAAAAGACCGTTGCGGAATTATTCGGCTATGTTCAGCATGAAACGTACCAAAGATAGCCTGAACACCGATAATATCGGTAAAGAGTGCACAAACTAACACGATCAAGAGTGTTACTGTCATTAGCAGCGTCGTGGGGGTTCCTCGTTCCAAGCTACCGGTTCGTCTTGCCAGCCAAACATACCCCCATCTGATGGGAAACAACAAGAAGATTGTAAAGCCTGTGCAGCTGAACAGAACCCAAAGGGCGGACAGACCAGAAGACGCATTAATCAATGCGACGGTGAGTACCAGAAGAATCCATCCGACGACATCATTGCAGACGCCAGCTGAAAGTGCGACAACGCCAACAGAGGTATCAAGTAACTTCAATTCCGTCAAAATACGACAGAGGACAGGAAAAGCTGTGATCCCGACGGCGACAGCAACGAAGAGCAAAAAGTATCCAAAGTTGACCTCAGGATTGATGAATTTATGGTATACCCCAATGCCGAGCGCTGCACCAAGACCAAGGGGAATGACAAGGCCAGCCACCGCGACTGCAGCAGAATTGGCCATGTTACGCTTGAGAACACGTACGTCCAACTCGAGCCCGATCAGGAAGAGGTAGAACACAAGGCCTATATTAGACGTCAAGTTGAGCAATGGCATTGATGACGTCGGAAAGATCTTCGCCGTAAAACCAGGAATTCGACCCATTGCGGTTGGCCCTAAAATCACGCCCCCAAGGATTTCAGCGATAACCCTAGGCTGTCGTATCCGACGGAGTATGACGGCCAGTATTTGGGTTACACCAAGAATGAGGACTAGGAAACGCGTCGAGCGTCAAAGCAGTTTCTCGACGTATATAATAGACTGTCACGAACCGACTTGGATAACCCATAATGGGAAGGGATCGTTCGGATTGTAGACGACTGGGTTGAGTCCAGTAATAACGCCACCCTGAGCGACGCGTTGGTAAATACAATGGCTTGCAAGTAATATGAGCTGAAACTCACCTGTGCGGTCGCCTTTGCCCTCCGGGTGAACTGCTCGTACACCACGGCAGTGAGTTGGGTAAATTCGCCCATGAGCGCGTGGAGTTAGACATAGTCGGAGAGTCTGCGAGGGCGAATTTATAGGAAACTTTGTATTTGTTTTGAAATCACTATACGAAAGGGGGAGTGGCACCCGCGCGCCCAGTCTTGGCAAATTATTGCCTTCCGTACCTTTTATAAGGTATACGTTTGATTTCCCACCTGTTTCCCACACAGATAACCGTCGCTTGCGCAACTTGCGACGGCTAGTCTCTCTGTTTGCTTTTGAATTCGCATTGGAATAAGACTCCCGTTTGCGCTTGGACTAAGGCACAGCAATACGTCATATCAAATACCCGATCCCACACTCAAAATGCCCTGCGTTATCTAACCCCACTTTAACAACAAAATGGCCCGGATAACCGAAGTGAGCTCAAACGCCACTACAGGTCATGAATCGGAACTACAACCACGGCAGCCTGGCCAAAGCATGAAAAACAGAACAACGGGAAATAAAAGAGAGAAATAACTGACCACAATGAACGCACTCAACAACCGTGCCACTGTGCACTTGCGCTTTGGGCACGCGACAAATGCAAGTTGACCCTTGATAATTCATAT